GTATCACTCATTTCTGACCAACAGGACCCAGCAGGTCCGAGTGAACGAGACCCTGTCTGAGCCCAAGGTCATTAAGGTGCCCCCAAAGGCTAAGAGTTCAAACATCCTATTCACACTGTATACAAATGAATGTACAAGTAGACACACTGAACAAAAATATAAACACCAAATGCAACAATTTCAAAGATTTTACTGAGTTACAGTTCATATAAGGAAATCAGTCAATTGAAATAAATTCATTAGGCAGATGGCAGACAGTGTGTATGGTGTCGTGTGGGCGAGCGGTTTGCTGATGTCAACGTTGTGAACTGAGTGCCCCATGGTGGTGGTGGGGTTATGGTATGGGCAGGCATAAGCTACGGACAACGAACACAATTGCATTTTATCGATGGCAATTTGAATGCACAGAGATACCTTGACGAGATCCTGGAGCCCACTGTCGTACCATTCATCCGCCGCCATCACCTCATGTTTCAGATTGATAATGCACGGCCCCATGTCACAAGGATCTGTACACAATTCCTGGAAGCTGAAAATGTCCCAGTTCATCCATGGCCTGCATACTCATCAGACATGTCACCCATTGAGCATGTTTGGGATACTCTGTATCAACGTGTACAACAGCGTGTTCCAGTTCCCGCCAATATCCAGCAACAGCCATTGAAGAGGAGAGGGATAATATTCCACAGGTCACAATCAACAGCCTGATCAACTCTATGCGAACGAGATGTCACGCTGCATGAGGCAAATGGTGGTCACACCAGATATTGACTGGTTTTCTGATCCACTAACCTACTTTTTTTTTCTGGTATCTGTGACCAAAAGATGCGTATCTGAGTCAATTCAGTGGCTAGCTTTGCACTTGGCTAGCTAACAGTAACTGCTAGGGGTAAGTCATAACCTACATTTGTGTTTTGTTTTTTACATATTGATAGTCCGAGTCGTTCAAGGAATTCGGGACATGGGTGACTAGTTAACGTTAGTTTGGCTCTGTGTGTTCGTGCCGTGAAAGGAAGGGTTCTTCTTTGTCTGAAAGCAATGGCTAGCTAGTTTGCTAACTATTCTAGCTAACTAACTGGCTGAATAAGTTGACGACGGACTCGCTCAAGCTGTCGGGACTAACCCACAAAGTTAGACACGGACACGAACAATCTGCTTGCATGTTGATACACTGGTGGTTTGTTGTGGCCGAGTATTGGCGCTAAACCGTGTTGTTGGAGTCCGGCATGCTAGCTGGCTGTGGCGTCTTATGACTAGGTGCCCGGACGATTTTCACGGAATAATACTGCACTTAGTTAGCTAGCTGAATAAATTAAGTTAGTCTATTCCTAGAAAACATTGAACCGCTGTAGTTTACAACAATTATAGTTTCTGAGGTGGAAGTTGGGAGAGTTATATTTGGGAGTTGTGGTGAGGGAGGCCCCGCTCTCTCCTTTCCCAGATGTTTAGTTCATTTCATTCCGATCTCCTCTGCATTATTGTAGCCATCTGCTGCAGCCTGTCAACTATGCCTCTGCCTATCCCTGTTCTCTCCTCTCCGCACAGGCTACACAAACGCCTCACACCGCGTGGCTGCTGCCTCTCTAACCTGGTGGTCCCTGCACGCACCACCCACGTGGAGTTCCAGGTCTCAGGCAGCCTCTGGAACTGCCGTTCTGCTGCCAACAAGGCAGAGTTCATCTCAGCCTATGCTACCCTCCAGTCCCTCAACTTCTTGGCGCTGACGGAAACATGGATTACCACTGAAAACACTGCTACTCCTACTGCTCTCTCCTCGTCTGACCATGTGTTCTCGCATACCCCGAGAGCATCTGGTCAGCGGGGTGGTGGCACAGGAATCCTCATCTCTCCCAAGTGGACATTCTCAATTTTTCCTCTGACCCATCTGTCTTTCTCCTCATTTGAATTCCATGCTGTCACAGTCACTAGCCCATTTAAGCTTAATATCCTTGTCATCTATCGCCCTCCAGGTTCCCTTGGAGAGTTCATCAATGAGCTTGACGCCTTGATAAGTTCCTTTCCTGAGGATGGCTCACCCCTCACAGTTCTGGGGGATTTCAACCTCCCTACGTCTACATTTGACTCATTTCTCTCTGCCTCCTTCTTTCCACTCCTCTCCTCTTTTGACCTCAACCTCTCACCGTCCCCCCCTACTCACAAGGCAGGCAATACGCTTGACCTCATCTTTACTAGATGCTGTTGTTCTACTAATCTCACTGCAACTCCCCTCCATGTCTCCGACCACTACTTTGTATCCTTTTCTCTCTCGCTCTCCTCCAACACTACTCACTCTGCCCCTACACAGATGGTAATGCGCCGTCGCAACCTTCGCTCTCTCTCTCCCGCTACTCTCTCCTCTTCCATCCTATCATGTCTTCCCTCTGCTCAATCCTTCTCCCTCCAATCTCCTGACTCTGCCTCCTCAACCCTCCTCTCCTCCCTTTCTGCATCCTTTGACTCTTTATGTCCCCTATCCTCCCGGCCGGCTCGGTCCTCCCCTCCAGCTCCGTGGCTTGATGACTCATTGCGAGCTCACAGAACAGAGCTCCGGGCAGCTGAGCGGAAATGGAAGAAAACTAGACTCCCTGCGGACCTGGCATCTTTTCACTCCCTCCTCTCTACATTTTCTTCATCTGTTTCTGCTGCTAAGGCCACTTTCTACCACTCTAAATTCCAAGCATCTGCCTCTAACCCTAGGAAGCTCTTTGCCACATTCTCCTCCCTGCTGAATCCCCCCCCCCCCCCCCCCCCCCTCTCTGTGGATGACTTCGTCAACCACTTTGAAAAGAAGGTTGACGACATCCGATCCTCGTTTCTTAAGTCAAATGACACTGCTGGTCCTGCTCACACTGCCCTACCCTATGCTTTGACTTCTTTCTCCCCTCTCTCTCCAGATAAAATCTTGCGACTTGTGACGGCAGGCCGCCCAACAACCTGCCCGCTTGACCCTATCCCCTCCTCTCTTCTCCAGACCATCTCCGGTGACCTTCTCCCTTACCTCACCTCGCTGATCAACTCATCCTTGACCGCTGGCTATGTCCCTTCCGTCTTCAAGAGAGCGAGAGTTGCACCCCTTCTCAAAAAACCAACACTCGATCCCTCTGATGTCAACAACTACAGACCAGTATCCCTTCTTTCTTTTCTCTCCAAAACTATTGAGCGTGCCGTCTTTAGCCAACTCTCTTGCTATCTCTCTCAGAATGACCTTCTTGATCCAAACCAGTCAGGTTTCAAGACTGGTCATTCAACTGAGACTGCTCTTCTCTGTGTCACGGAGGCTCTCCGCACTGCTAAAGCTAACTCTCTCTCCTCTGCTCTTGTCCTTCTAGACCTGTCTGCTGCCTTTGATACTGTGAACCATCAGATCCTCCTCTCCACCCTCTCCGAGCTGGGCATCTCCGGCGCGGCTCACTCTTGGATTGCGTCCTACCTGACCGGTCGCTCCTACCAAGTGGCGTGGCGAGAAGCTGTCTCCGCACCACGTGCTCTCACCACTGGTGTCCCCCAGGGCTGAGTTCTAGGCCCTCTCCTATTCTCGCTATACACCAAGTCACTTGGCTCTGTCATATCCTCATATGGCCTCTCCTATCATTGCTACGCTGACGACACACAACTAATCTTCTCCTTTCCCCCTTCTGATAACCAGGTGGCGAATCGCATCTCTGCATGTCTGGCAGACATATCAGTATGGATGACGGATCACCACCTCAAGCTGAACCCTGGCAAGACGGAGCTGCTCTTCCTCCCGGGGAAGGACTGCCCGTTCCATGATCTCGCCATCACGGTTGACAACTCCGTTGTGTCCTCCTCCCAGAGTGCGAAGAGCCTTGGCGTGACCCTGGACAACACCCTGTCGTTCTCCGCTAACATCAAGGCGGTGACCCGATCCTGTAGGTTCATGCTCTACAACATTCGGAGAGTACGACCCTGCCTTACACAGGAAGCGGCACAGGTCCTAATCCAGGCACTTGTCAACTCCCGTCTGGATTACTGCAACTCGCTGTTGGCTGGGCTCCCTGCCTGTGCCATTGAACCCCTACAACTCATCCAAAATGCCGCAGCCCGTCTGGTGTTCAACCTTCCCAAGTTCTCTCACGTCACCCCGCTCCTCCGCACACTCCACTGGCTTCCAGTTGAAGCTCGCATCTGCTACAAGACCATGGTGCTTGCCTACGAAGCTGTGAGGGGAACGGCACCTCCGTACCTTCAGGCTCTGATCAGTCCCTACACCCAAACGAGGGCATTGCGTTCATCCACCTCTGGCCTGCTGGCTCCCCTACCTCTGCGGAAGCATAGTTCCCGCTCAGCCCAGTCAAAACTGTTCACTGCTCTGGCACCCCAATGGTGGAACAAGCTCCCTCACGACGCCAGGACAGCGGAGTCACTCACCACCTTCCGGAGACATTTGAAACCCCACCTCTTTAAGGAATACCTGGGATAGGATAAAGTAATCCTTCTACCCCCCCTTACCCCAACCCACCCCCCCCCCAAAAAAATTAAAAAAAAATAATAATAATAACATTGTAAAGTGGTGATCCCACTGGCTCTAAGGTGAATGCACCTATTTGTAAGTCGCTCTGGATAAGAGCGTCTGCTAAATGAGGTAAATGTAAATGTATTCCCAATCATCTGAAATCCATAGATTTGGGCCTAATTTATTTATTTCAATTGACTGATTTCCTTATATGAACTGTAACTCAGTAAAATCTTTGAAATTGTTGCATGTTGCGTTTATATTTTTGTTGAGTGTCCTGTAACAGGCTAGGTTTGCTAACATTAGCTTGGTAGATCATAGTCACGTTAATGTTAGGCAGCAATAAAAAGCTAGCTAGTTAACATCTACAATAACTTAGGTAGCTACACCAAAGACACAGCTCAAAGTGCGGCAACAAATCTGTCCAATTAGCTGACTTCAGTTGACACGCCCACTTCCAGACATTCACGTATGCAGTTACCCATGACTCCAAAGCAAGCCTCCTCTTCAGAATATCACGACAATGAATTACTTTACGGTAGCATTTGCTGTTTTGAGTTGTAAGCGGAAAATTGCTACACTAGCATATTAGCCAGTATTCCTTGTGGATAGCTGTAGCTAGCTAACCGTTGCCGATAACTTAACATTTAAAGGTTTGTTTTCCACGTTTTGGATAACCTTTCGTCATGGATGTAGGCGAGCTACTGAATTATCAGGTAACGTTAATTAGTGAGACATGTCCTTAGTGTTTGCTGCAAATGTGTTGACTAGCTAGGAAAATAAATGTTTAAACCACCGTCACCGTCTTTGACCATAGCTATAGCTAGCTAGCTACATTGCTAGCGAACTGGCTAACTTGATTGCTAGTTAGCTAATAAACCAAGTTCACTAGCTAAGTTAGTTAGGGATGTGACAGATGAAAGAGAGATGTCTATCAGATGTCAAGTTAGTCTAGCTACTTTGCTAGCTAACTAGTTTGTGATAAACTATTGTCTAGTTCTGCTCTGTTAGCTAGCTAGCTAAAGTAATGTCCCTCTCATGGAATATAATTTATTGAGCATCAAATATATTACAGAAATCAAGTACTATTTACATGTGACGATGAATGCATTTCAATTTGCATTGTTTACTTTTTGGTTGGCCCACTCTTTGCTTGGATGCATTACCCTGTTTTGAAGTACCTGCTTGACATGGTGTTAATGTTCATTGTAGCCTGACAGGGGGGCAAAACGTCTACGGGCAGGTGATGATGATGATGATGACCCCAGAAGCAAAAAGACCGGTAGAGAGCTGGCCAGACACCTGGAGGGAGATGACAGTGAAGACCCGAGTGGTGAGAGGAAGAGAATACTGGAGAAACTCATGGATGATGATGAGGATGCAGACGACCAAGAGGTGGGGAAAGTTTAAGTGGCATGATAAAGCATGCATGCATAGCTAAATGTGCTGATCTTGTTACTAACATACTTTTTGTTGTCTTGGTAACACTTTTCACCAAAGGGCACTTTTTTTCTTCTTCTTTCTTTTATAAAAAAATTATCCAGGGTGAACCAGTGGATGAGAGTTTGGTGAAGAAAATGATCCTGACCTTTGAAAAAAGGTCCTACAAGAACCAAGAGCTGAGGATAAAGTTCCCAGACACTCCGGGGAGGTGAGTTAATGAGAGGGAAACGTTCTTCCTGAGTTAAGCTATACAGTCAATATCATTGCGTTTGTCTTATAGAGTTATCAATCTACTGTAAGGGTAAATTGACTTGCTGCTTCAATAACATGACATTGCATTCAACAAGTCTGGACTTATTTTCCATGTATGACATACTTTTTTATTCCCCTGTCCAGGTTCATGGAAACAGAGCTGGATTTGAATGACATCATCCAGGAGATGCATGTCATAGCCACCATGCCTGATCTCTACCACCTCTTGGTGGAGCTCAATGCTGTCCATTCCCTGCTGGGCTTACTTAGCCATGAGAACACAGATATCCTTTCCTTCAAAGATGGCTTACTAAGCATCTTTCACTCTTTAATTCAGTTAATTTACCTGCACTTATGTTATTCTATGCATTTGACCTTGAATTAGACAACTAATTTTTCTAAACTGAACATATTGATACAAACTGTAAAAATCCTTAGCCTCTCCTACATATCGCCATTGCAGTGGTTGATTTGTTACAAGAGCTGACAGACATCGACACACTTCATGAAAGTGAGGAGGGGGCTGAAGTACTCATAGACTCTTTGGTGAGTCCAGTTTGTTTGAATACAATCAATGTATGCATTTAGGTTATCTGGCATGGTTATATGCCATTTTCTTGTTATGTCTCATGCGTCCACAACCATATTGATGCTGATGAAAATGAACTCAATAGATAAAGCAGATTCAATCCCAGCTAATGTCCATGGCCTTAGTTAAAATGGTCTGTCTTAGCCCTCCCTTTGCACTCACTTTGACAACAGCAAAGGCATTGGCTGTTTTCTGGAAAAGGTTGAGTGCCCCTTCATAATGTCTGCTAACATTTAGAAAGACGAGGCAAAGGTGAAATCTTACACGACTTATAAATGAGCAGCGGAAATGAGGCATGAGTCTTTATTGTTGTCACTCACGACAATATTCCATAATGCTTTGATAACAACCTGTCTCCTTCTCTAACTGTAGCTGGAGGGACAGGTTGTGGCCCTTCTGGTGCAGAACATGGAGAGGCTGGATGAGCAGGTAAAGGAGGAAGCTGATGGAGTCTACAACACGTTAGGTAAGACCCACTGGGCAATGTGTACATGACTGGACAAAATATGGGGATTATTTAAATGTTCGTAAAATTTAATTTGGGCTCAGTACTTCTAGTGTTTTGATGGCATCTTATCAAGGCAGCTCTCCAGGCTTGAATAAGCATTTTGTCTCCTTCCTGGTTGGGGCTCACAGGCTCATGTCCTCCAGGATGGTGTCTGCTGAGTTGGAATTAGTGATAAAGGCTTCCTTCTCCTCCAGCAGGCCTCTCTTTCTGTGCGTCTCTCTCTCACTCACTCTATCTCTCCCTCTATTTGTCTCTCTCTCCTCTCTCCCTCTTTTCTCCATTGGGGTTTTGCCGCCCTTCTGCTGAATGAGTGAGATATCAGGTGTCTCAGACAGCTTTATAATGCAAATATTAGCAAAGGTATCTGAGACCTCTATACTTCTCAGGAGGTGCTGTCAGAATTTGATGGTCTCATATTCACCTCTCTCTTCTATCCCATCTCTCTCCATCAGCCATCATTGAAAACATGGCAGAGTTCAGGCCTGGCCTATGCACAGAAGCAGCTCAGCAAGGACTCATGCAGTGGTTGCTAAAAAGAATAAAGGTGAGGATATAACTGAAGATGACACATTCCATTGGTTATTGTTGCTGTATGTAGAGCTTTCTGCAGGCTGGGTCGATATGTCTGATTTGAAATGTGTCTGTTGTAGAACTAGACCTACAGTATAGTGTATATAGGCTTTCAATTGCTCATGCCATCACTGGTTTTGGCATGCCATCACTGGTTTTGGCATGCCATCACTGGTTTTGCCCCTCCCTTTCTCTCTTTCAGGCAAAGATTCCTTTCGATGCTAACAAGCTGTACTGCAGTGAAATCTTGGCTATCTTGCTTCAAAACAATGACAGTACGTTTACAGCCCTTTCCTCTGTAGTTGCTGTACAATGTGATAAACGTGATTTTTCATCTAATGTAGTCTTGTAAAATAAACATAGCCACAGAGGTGATTGTTGTGGCTGCGGACCAAAATAGTAGAGTATCATGACCGGTTAAAGTATACTATTTGTCAGTGTCTGAGTGGCTGGGTCCAGAAGACCTTGGAGTGCTGCAGGACGACAGACAGGCACCAGGTCCAGATCAGTAATGGACTGGGCAACATTGATATTCTGTTTGAGTCCTATCTCATTTTCCTCTCTGTGTTCCCCTCTGAGTGAGTTTAGCTACCTGGGTTGGTTGTGCTGTGTTGCATATAGCAGCTCGATCTGGATCGATTCATCTTCTCCCTTGGCTTTTATCACCATGTTTTTCAATGTTTATGCGCCACACTCCTTTAACAGTTAGTCTCTCTCTCCTTCCCTCTCTCTCCCCCCTCTCTCTCCTTCCCTCTCTCTCTCTCTCCCCCCTCTCTCTCCTTCCCTCTCCCTGCATCCTGCTCTTCTATTTTATCCTCTCCTCCCACCTCTTCTCTCCCTCTACTTCCAGGCACCAGGGAGCTCTTGGGGGAGCTGGATGGAATTGACGTGTTACTGCAGCAGCTCTCTGTAAGCCTGTCTTTTCAAATGTTCTACTATTCCTCCTAGGCTTGTGTGGTATACCGTATACCGGAGTATTTAGAAATGCCGACGGTATGATTTTCAATACTGTCCCCCCCAAAAAGTATTATTATTTTAGTATTCACAAATTCATTTGAGCCTGTCACATGGTATGTTTGTTTTCCGATCCAATGTTGAGCAGCACAAAAGAGATGATCAAGTTACACTTGAAATTCACTACTAATGTTTGCCAGCTAAACATCTTATAACTCCATAAGTTAACTATCTAAGATGTGCCCTAGCTATAGGTGGCTAGCTTGCAAGATGAAGCTTCTTGGTTACAGCAGAGACAATCAATCCCCTCCTGGATCAAGTGCGAGTAGCCTTTTGAGATAGCTTGTTGTATAACTTTATGAGCTGTGTTGTCTGTCTTTGCATTTAGTTTATGTTCACTTGCGCTTGTTAGCATTTAGCTAGTGTCCGCAATTTAAAAAAACATTAAATAACATAAAAAAAGTTTGGAAAGAAATAGTGCCGGTAATACCGTATCCCCCAGTATGGTACAGGAACAGTGTGAAGGTATGGAAATCTTGATACCGCCCAACCCTAGCTCCTCCCGTCTCTCTGATTCATCCATGTCTCACGCTCACCTCACATCACACTGTTGAAGTTTCAGCAGATCATAAGAACTGTCTGTTCTTTACAGGAGTGATCTATTCATCCCCCCTTCTTCTTCACATCGTGCTGAGCGAATAGTGCTTTTTGAGGTCGGTTCGGCTTTGGTTAGATTTTTTTATTGCGAGTTTCGATTTTTCTTTTTAAACATGAAATGTATTATCAAATAATGACATAAAAAAATGATTTTAGAGCTTTTTAATGGTAATTCCAAAGCCAAAAATAATGAACAATAATGAACATCTGGGGCGGCAGGTAGCTTAGTGGTTAAGAGCGTTGTGCCAGTAACCGAAAGGTCGCTGGTTCTAATCCCTGAGCCGACTAGGTGAAAAATCTGTCGATGTGCCCTTGAGCAAGGCACTTAACCCTAATTGCTCCTGTAAGTCCCTCTGGATAAGAGCGTCTGCTAAATGACTAAAATGTATGTAAATGTAAAACATTCAATTGCCAAAACATTGAAAATATTCCATTGTCTCTGTCAAGTCCACATTGGGTAGACATCAATAGAAATATAGGAAATTGCTATGAAATAATGCAATATTTCAGTTGTGTATATTACATTTACATTTTAGTCATTTAGCAGACACTCTTATGCAGAGCGACTTACAGTTAGTGAGTGCATACATTCTTTTATTTTTATTTTTTATACTGGCTCCCCGTGGGAATCGAACCCACAACCCTGGCGTTGCAAATGCCATGCTCTACCAACTGAGCTACATCCCTGCCGGCCATTCCCTACCCTGGACGACGCTGGGCAAATTGTGCGCCGCCCCATGGGTCTCCCAGTCGCGGCCGGCTACGACAGAGTTACTTAGTTTTTGATGACTTTATTATTTTTCATTCCTTAAAGTCATAATCTCATCTCTGCTCAGGCAGTAGCAGCCAGCCAGACAACGTTATCTCTGTGCTCCCCATACTGTACTCAATCAATCAATCAAATTGTATTTATAAGCAGATGTCACAAAGTGCTATACAGAAACCCAGCCTAAAACCCCAAACAGCAAGCAATGCAGATGTAGAAGCACAGTGGCTAGGAAAAACTCCCTAGAAAGGCAGAAACCTAGAGAGGTACCAGGCTCTGAGGGGTGGCCAGTCCCTTCTGGCTGTGCCGGGTGGAGATTATAACAGTACATGGCCATTAAGGGCAGATTTTTTTCTCCAAGATGTTCAAACGTTCATAGATGACCAGCAGGGTCAAATAATAATCACAGTGGTTGTAGAGGTTGCAACAGGTCAATACATCAGGAGTAAATGTCACTTGGCTTTTCATAGCCGGGCATTTAGAGGTCGAAATAGCAGGTGTGGTAGAGAGAGAGAGAGTTGAAAACAGCAGGTCTGGGACAAGGTAGCACGTCCGGTGAACAGGTCAGGGTTCCATAGCCGCAGGCAGAAGAGTGGAAACTGGAGCAGCAGCACGACCAGGTGGACTGGGGACAGCAAGGAGTCATCAGGCCAGGTAGTCCTGAGGCTGGGGACCTGAGCTAGTCTGCCTAAAGGTCGTACGCATGCTTCCCAGCCGAAACAGTTTGGAAGATTTTGTGCACATATTATGACATTTTGTGACGTTTTGGACTTTGGTAAGGGGGTTTTCGGCTGTTCGGGCACGCATTTTTCTTTTCTTGAGGCAAGCTGAAGTCGGTAGCCGAAGTCTTGGCCCCTTCGTCAGTGATTGGTCAACAGTAGGGATTCTTCAATAAAGTATTGGTTGTCATTCAATGAGAGACGACTCATTTTAATGCACATTTTTTCCATTGAGAAATAATGCACCAAAAATCTTTGTTAGATGTAAAATTGCGCGACTAAGATTTCCTCAGCAAAAAAGTCAATTTTTCTTGAGTTATTTTAGATGAATTCTGACTATTTTGAGGAAGTGTATACTGGCTACGGTATAGTGTATACTGGCTACAAAATGGACAAACAATTAGTTGTTTAATAACCAACCCCTCCTAACCTCTGTTAGATTAGCCTTTTGGCTAACTATTATACTACTTGATATATTCAAGGCCTGCAGTATAATGATGTCTAATGCAAATTAATAAGACTTAGAAGTGTAACTTGATGCTAGACAGATGTTCTGCTTTGCTTTGTAAGCATCTCCACTCTGTTGGCGAATCCGGTTGCAAGCTTTCAGTGTGTCCTTAGTTCTCAGGGCACTGCACTGCATTACACCCAAAATGCATTTGGTTGAATACTGGTCTATCTATGTGATGTGTCTCATACACCATTGATTACAGTTACACTGTTGAAAGTCTGCTAATGAGCCAAACAAGCTCATCATTTATTTCGTTTATACTGAATTTACCAGCATCACAGTTCTACGTTTTTTGTGGCCATGTCACCTCCCTGGTGATAGACAGTAGAAGTGTGGGTGTCATTCTCCTTCAGGTGTTCAAACGCCACAACCCAGCCACGGCAGAGGAGCAGGAGATGATGGAGAACCTGTTTGATGCCCTGTGCTCCTGTCTGATGCTGGCTGCCAATCGGGACCGCTTCCTCAGGGGAGAGGGTCTGCAGCTCATGAACCTCATGCTTAGGTAAAGACTCAGATGTTTAACACCTCTTGAAGAAATGAGTCTCCACACAAATATCTCAGTTTTAATGTTTCAATCATTTAATGTCCTAAGCTTTCAGCTAAAACAAATCTTCATCCAAGTACCTCCTCAAAGGAGGACTAAGGTAGAGATGGACAGTTCCCCGGCTTGGCTGTAGTCCTTTTTTAATTTCAACCCTCCTTTCAATTCACACAGGTCGCTGGTGATCTGAGATCATTACGCAGTAGGGATATATGTAAATTGACGTCTTTGAACTCAACCTTTGTTTGCTGTTAAGGCTGTCAGAGGACGCACCATGCACCCCAGTGAGTGGTAGGGTTGAGTGATGTCTTTGTGTTCGCACAGCACATCTCTGGCTCTGCTCAGCTGCCAGTCCAATCAATCAGCCGACAGAGCGCTGCAGCACCACGACGTTACCTTAAAGAGCAATACAGAGACATTACATGTATTTATGAAACCCTCCATGTCCAAGCTCTAATCATCACGACGACGCCAGGCAGACAGACCGATTAAAACCAAAATCAATATCTAATTATAGCGATGCAAAACCCGTTTTTAAATCATCCACAGGAGAAGGCTCTCAGAATGGGTTATCTAGGGAGCAACACGTAACTCTCTCTTTTTACTTCTCATAAGATTCACAGAATCATAAGTTCTGCACCTCTGCTTCGATAGTTTTCTCTGTTTTTGTAGAGGTTAGGCTTTATCAAAGGGTTTGCAATATGAGCTTAGGAACACGGTTGTAGGCATCTTTATAATTGCCTTTGTTTGAATTTTTTCAACTGTTTAACTTTGTCTAAAAAATGACTTCCTCATAAGCTGCAGAAACGTTGGGTTTTGAGGAGTTCTTAAAGGACTGCCAATAGCAAGTTGCGAAGGACTCCTTGTAGCTAGGTTAAATACACTACATGGTATGTGGACGCCTGCTCGTCGAACATCTCATTCCAAAATCATGGGCATTAATATGGAGTTGGTTCCCCCCTTCACTACTCAGCAAATTGGATGTAGTCTATCACAGTGCCATCCGTTTTGTCTCCAAAGCCCCATACACTACCCACCACTGTGACCTGTACGCTCTTGTAGGCTGGTCCTCACTACATGTTCGTCGTCAAACCCACTGGCTCCAGGCCATCTATAAATCACTGCTAGGCAAATCCCCGCCTTATTTTAGCTCATTGGTCACCATAGCAGCACCCACCCGTAGTCTGCGCTCCAGCAGGTATATCTCACTGGTCATCCCCAAAGCCAACACCTCCTTTGGCCGCCATTCCTTCCAGTTCTCTGCTGCCAATGACTGGAACGAATTGCAAAAATCTCTGAAGCTGGAGACTCTTATCTCCCTCACTAACTTTAAGCATCAGTTGTCAGAGCACCTTACCGATCACTGCACCTGTACACAGCCCATCTGAAATTAGCCCACCCAACTACCTCATCCCTATATTGTTATTTATTTTGCTATTTTGCATCCCAGTATCTCTATTTGCACATAATCTCTTGCACATCTAGCATTCCAATGTTAATACTAATTGTAATTATTTTGCACTATAGCCTATTTATTGCCTTACCTCCATAACTTGCTACATTTGCACACACTGTATATATATTTTCTGTTGTATTTTTTGACTTTTGTTTTTTTACCCCATATGTAACTCTGTGTTGTTGTTTTTATCGCACTGCTTTGCTTTATCTTGGCCAGGTCGCAGTTGTAAATGAGAACTTGTTCTCAACTGGCTTACCTGGTTAAATAAAGGTGAAATTATTTTATTTTTTAAATAAAAATAAATCAATCAATCACATTTTATTTATAAAGCCCTTTTTAATCAGCAGATGTCACAAAGTGCTATACAGAAACCCAGCCTAAAACCCCAAACAGCAAGCAATGCAGATGTAGAAGCACGGTGGCTAGGAAACACTCCCTAGAAAGGCAGAAACCTAGGAAGAAACCTAGAGAGGAACCAGGCTCTGAGGGGTGGCCAGTCCCCTTCTGGCTGTGCTGGGTGGAGATTATAACAGTACATTATAACAGATTTTTCTCCAAGATGTTCATAGATGACCAGCAGGGTCAAATAATAATCACAGTGGTTGTAGAGGTTGCAACAGGTCAGTACATCAGGAGTAAATGTCACTTGGCTTTTCATAGCCGGGCATTTAGAGGCTGAAATAGCAGGTGCGGTAGAGAGAGAGAGAGAGAGAGAGAGAGAGTTGAAAACAGCAGGTCTGGGACAAGGTAGCACGTCAGATGAATAGGTCAGGATTCCATAGCCGCAGGCAGAAGAGTGGAAACTGGAGCAGCAGCACGACCAGGTGGACGGGACAGCAAGGAGTCATCAGGCCAGGTAGTCCAGAGGCATGGTCCTAGGGCTCAGCTTCTCCGGGATGGGAGAGATGGAGCTATAACAGCCTCCACTCTTCTGGGAAGGCTTTCCACTAGATGTTGAAACATTGTTGCGAGGACTTGCTTCCATTCAGCCACGAGCATTAGTGAGGTTGGGCACTGATGTTAGGCGATTAGGCCTGGCTCGCAGTCGGCGTTCCAATTCATCCCAAAGGTGTTCAATGGGGTTGAGGTCAGGGCTCTGTGCAACCATGAAAAACAGCCCCAGATCATTATTCCTCCTCCACCAAACCTTACAGTTGGCACTATGCATTCGGGCAGGTAGCGTTCTCCTGGCATCCACCAAACCCAGATTCGTCCGTCGGATTGCCAGATGGTGAATCGTGATTCATCACTCCAGAAAAGTCGTTTCCACTGCTCCAGAGTCCAATGGCGGCGAGCTTTACACCTCTCTAGCCGACGCTTGGCATTGCGCATGATGATCTTAGGCTTGTGTGCGGCTGCTCGGCCATGGAAACCCATTTCATGAAGCTCCCGACGAACAGATATTGTGCTGACTTTGTTTCCAGAAGCAGTTTGGAACTCGGTAGTGAGTGTTGCAACTGAGGACAGACAAATTTTACGCGCTACTCGCTTCAGCACTCGGCGGTCCCATTCTGTGAGCTTGTGTGGCTCCTAGACGTTTCCACTTCACAATAACAGCACTTACAGTTAACCGGGGCAGATGTAGCAGGGCAGACATTTGACGAACTGACTTGTTGGAAAGGTGGCATCCTATGACAGTGCCACGTTGAAAGTCACTGAGCTCTTCAGTAAGTCCATTCTACAACCAATGTTTGTCTATGGAGATTGCATGGCGGTGTGTTCGATTTTCTACACCTATCAGCAACGGTGTGGCTGAGATAGCCGAATCCACACATTTTGAAGGGGTGTCCACATACCTTTGTATGTATAGTGTAGTCTGTGTGCCTGGCAAAAGACAATAATGACCTTGCGGCATACCTCTGCTGTAAACTATCTGTTGTGCCAGAGATAATTGAGCCCTTATTGTATTATGTATATTTTTTTGCACTGCCTCTTCCCAGGGAAAAGAAAATGTCTCGGACCAGCGCTCTGAGGGTCTTAGACCACGGCATGATTGGCCCAGAGGGTTCTGATAACTGCCACAAGTTTGTGGACATCCTGGGCCTGAGGACCATTTTCCCCTTGTTCATGAAGACCCCCAAGAAGATGAGGAAAGCTGGGGCCGCAGACAAAGAACATGAAGGTTTGCACATTTCTATACACTCCAAATTTCGTTTATAACAATGAAATCATTTTGCTTGTCTGACATTAGCGCAAATGCTTAGTTGTCCAACACCTGTACCCAAAACACAATTTAACAAGGAAGGAGATTTAATCAGGTTTGTCTCATGGCTTTTTAGTCTGTCGATTTTAAGTTATCAATCTAAACTTGATTGCTTTTTCTGCTGTTCCTCTCAGAATCCACTGTTGAGTTGTGAAATAAGACAAATGAAAGCATCAGTGCTTATCAGCCACCCTCCCTTTCCCCTTTTAGTTTTAGCAGGGGCGCCACTGCTAAATGAAAATAGGGGAAACACTGCCTTCGCTGTCTTTAATTATATCTCATACGTCCGGACGGCCCACCCGAGGTGAACAAATTGGCTTCCTTTGTCTGTTTGCTTCATCTGGGGGACAGAATTAATTGACCAGAGACCTGCTTTGTGTTTTGAGGAGTTCTTAAAGGACTGCCAATAGCAAGTTGCGAGGGACTCCTTGTAGCTAGGTTAAATACACTACGACGCCTGCTCGTCGAACATCTCATTCCAAAATCATGGGCATTAATATGGAGTTGGTCCCCCCTTCAATCAATCAATCACATTTTATTTATAAAGCCCTTTTTACATCAGCAGATGTCACAAAGTGCTATACAGAAACCCAGCCTAAAACCCCAAACAGCAAGCAATGCAGATGTAGAAGCACGGTGGCTAGGAAACACTCCCTAGAAAGGCAGAAACCTAGGAAGAAACCTAGAGAGGAACCAGGCTCTGAGGGGTGGCCAGTCCCCTTCTGGCTGTGCCGGGTGGAGATTATAACAGTACATTATAACAGATTTTTCTCCAAGATGTTCATAGATGACCAGCAGGGTCAAATAATAATCACAGTGGTTGTAGAGGTTACAACAGGTCAGTACATCAGGAGTAAATGTCACTTGGCTTTTAATAGCCGGGCATTTAGAGGTTGAAATAGCAGGTGGGGTAGAGATAGTTGAACCGCCGAGTATGAAGCCAGACATAACAGGGCCTGCTAAAGCTTATCCCCCTGGTGCTCCCACTGATGGACCTCCTACTAGTCACAGCCAGACAGCCATGAAGAATGGTTACGCTACTTTGCTGTATGCAGCTTTGAATGCTCATAGTAATTGTGGGCTGAGGCCGGAGGACATCTAGGCTATAGAACAGTGGACTACAGCTAGTAACGTACCCTTGGACTTTAATAACCCTTTTCATATTCCTAGACCTGTCCCTAATGCATACCATCGTTTCTTGACTGAGATAGGCCTGTTTACTAAATGAAGATAATGCTAAGCATTAGTTATTTTTGTGTCCTTACATCGTTTGCATTTTAATGATTATTGTGAGATCAATTATTTAGTGTAAGCTTTATTTGGGACTTTTTCAACTTTTTGAAAGTCAGTTTTTTTCATAGCAGCAATGTTTTAGAATGTATGTAATTTGATATTGTTTTGAGGTGCATGATTTCCACATTACTATAAGATTTGTCATATAGTTTTTGACAGTAATTAGACTTATAGAGTGTCTCCTCTGCTGTAGTAAAAAATTAAATAAACGGAGAGGAAAAGGTGGTTCTCAAGAATAACACAATGCAGTCATAGATTAATTAATTATCAGCGGCTACACAAATGAAAGTTTAAGAGGAAAAGCGCTCTCCAAACCTCTCCATCATAAACAGAGAGATTGATCCCCATGAAATCGCCTCTGAAAATATACTGAGGCCCAGTGGCTGTGAATTGTCGGACAATATTTGCATACATATAATAAAATAATTAAGGGAAACAGTTATGAGAAGAAATATTGCAGAGGATCTTTTCAGAATGTGATGACTCACATAGCCTACCTTTTTAAGGTCTGTATTAATTTCCATGTCCTAATGTTGTGCATAGATAGAATGAGATTCTGGATGTACTGATGGTGGCAGACTATATTTAGCAGGCTAATGATGCACACAGTGTGATGGAACAGAAGTAAACACCTCATTTACATACAGCAGCACAATAGTTCTGACTGCACCGCAGCCCTTTGTAGTTTCTTTTGTTTTCCTTGGATGTCGAGCTAACGCCGCTGAGTGCTTCTTTAATATCTCTATTATTTTCCTGTTTTCACATGATACTAAAACTACATTAGAAGAATAGGAGCTGCAGTAGATTATTTTTATTTTTTTAATAACTTTGTTTCAGGTAATAGACTTAACAAATATTGTGATCAGTGCACAATACCGCACTGATTTTAGTATTTTACCAGGGAAGTTTACTGAGAACACGTTTGCATTTACAGCAATGACCTAGGGAATAGTTACAGGGGAGATAAATGAGCCAATTGGAAGCTGGGCATGATGAGGTGGCCATGATGGTATGAGGGCCAGATTAGGAATTTAGCCAGGACACCGGGGTTAACATCCCTACTCTTACAATATGTGCCATGGGATCTATAGTGACCACAGAGAGTCAGGACATCTGTTTAACGTCCTATCCGAAAGACGGCACCTTACACAGGGCAATGTCCCCAATCACTGCCGTGGGATATGTTTTTTTGACCAGAGGAAAGAGTGCCTTCTACTGGCCCTCCAGCACTTCAAGCAGCATCTGGTCAGGACCGACGCTGTTTAGCTTCAGTGGCAAGACAGCAGTGGGATGCAGGGTGGTATGGTGCTGGCCGATCTACCAGTAGTCTCAATCCTTTTAACTCAAACTGGATAATTAGTTGCTGTATTAGAGCCCTGTTCAGTCTCCTGTCTTGTCAATGAGGGATTTTGATAATGGGGAACTTATCCATACCTGCATACAGATATCTTTGAATTGGTTTGGAACTTGGTCAATCCATTTTGATGTTGCTGATGCCCAGCAATGACAGGAGCCATAATGAAGCCATCACATGATTGTCGTCAATCAAAATAACTTATGAAACGCAGCCCAGCCATGTCAGTGATTTTCTTCCCCTGGACTATTCTAGTCAGGTATAGTGGGAGTTTGCCTCAGACAGTGTAGACGAGAGCCCGTACCTTGCAGGGGTGCCTGTGGTCTGGCCGGGTTGATTGCTTTCCTCAGGACATGGCTGGTTCAGGTTCAATCTGTCCCCAGCAGAGAACTGTCAGGACCTGCCACCCTCAACCTCCTCTACTGCTCCTCCTTCTCCTAGCTCAATTGCCTGCCGTGGCACTCTTTGCTATTTGCATGTTAACTTGATGGCTGTTCCAGGTTGATGTGTAGCAGCTTTTAGACCAACAGCATCCCTTGCAAATGGCTATTACAACCACGTCTAATGTGCGCAGTGAATGAGTAATTAAGCTATTTTATATCATGTAGTCAGAGTTCTCTGTTAAGAATCAGGCTACTACTCTACTTATCTTGCTATCCTATATGTATACTGAATAAAAATATAACCGCAGCAATTTCAAAGATTTTACAGTTCATATAAGGAAATCCATTAGGCCCTAATCTATGGATTTCACATGACTGGGCAGGGGTGCAGACATGGGTGTGCCTGGGACGGCACCCACTGGGGAGCCAGGCCCAGCCAATCAGAATGAGTTTTTCAAAAGGGCTTTATTACAGACAGAAATCATCTTCAGAGGAACAGGAGCTAAAGCAGTAGAACATTTGAGGTGCCGGTACTCAGCTCCGGTGAGCTCCTGCCCAAGTCAAGCACTGTTTCTTATCCCTTGCACAAATAGCCTACAGCTGTGTCTGTACCGAGCTCACTGGCGCAGGAAACTCTGAGGGCCCAGAATATTTTATACAATGTTGCAAGTTCACTAGCGCAAGCTTCGGGCCAGACCCAGTTAATAGTTGATGCAATGTTTGAAGTTCGTTGCAGACAGGCCATGTGTAGCCAATGTGATTTATATAATATTTATTTTTATCAGGATATTTTCTACCTGCAGGCTGTAATGTTTTTATTTGTTGGCTTTGTGTAGGCTATTTTTACATAGTTGGCAATGGCAGTAGAAGTTAATTTTTAGGTTTATCATTTTCATTTAGATTTGGATAGACTTTTGATTAACCACATGACAATAATTTTGAGATATGAAGATGTTATGAATTAAATTAAACTGTCACGAAAATGTGCATATGAAAACCATAACTGGCACGCAGATCGGTAGAAATGGTAAGATAAATTGGCATTCCACATGAGAAAGGTTGCCGACTCGTCGTGTAGCCTATTACCGGCAACTTCAGGAGAGTAATGGCAGAATCTGCGAAAGCCAGCAGGAGCGGGAGGAGAATAGTTGGGTCAGGTTTTTTATTTATTTCAGGTTATCTAAATCTCTTGCGCCCTCTTGAGGCAGCAAACTGTAAGCTTAAAGCATCAGACAAGCTCAATGCATATAGTTGATTTTATTTATGGATAAATAAACATGTACAAATTTTGAGCAATCGATTGGTCGAAAGAACAGACAACTTTTGATCAGCAAATATATTTTTTAGGAGGGGACAGCCCTAAAACAAATTTGTGAACACAATTTGAGGGAAATAAGCTTTTTGTGTGTATGGAACATTTCTGGGATTTTTCATTATAGCTATAAAAAAAAACATGAAACATGGGACCAACACTTTACATGTTGTGTTTATATTTTTGTTCAATGTAGTATTTGTTCTGGTTTTCATGCAGATGGGTCACCTGGTTGTGGTTCCATTAGACTGGAACAGAACATCTCTGGTGCTCATAGCTCCTCAACCATGAATGTGATCACCACGCTAGACTGAGATTGTTCATCACAGGCACTACACTAGCTCTCCCAGTGACTGGTATTATTTCCTCATTAATGTTTTCCACTTGTCCCCCACTCTGAGCTGCAGGGGCTGTGATACGGAAAGCATTGTGTTGTCGGTCTCTGCTGCTGCTGATTTATGGAAGAGGGGGTACTAGGGATTGGGATTGTGGTAGAGGGAGCAGGGTGGTGGTGTAGCCTGTGTGTTCTCTAAGCTCATGATGAGTTCTACCAGCAAAGTGCAACATGCATATCCTACCATCATTCACCAAGGAGGAGAGAATGCAATTAGAGCTTGTAAAAGCACACTGCAGCATTGTGCTACTCTCTGAGAAACAACCATCAACCATGCTGGTCCTCTATCAGTTGGGAGACCTAAGACCAATATTGCAGTCTATGCTATATCTTGTTGTGATGTGCCTTTGATAAGGGTAATAGAGCTGCATCATTTTTCTAGGTCACATCTAATGAGCAGTTGGCCAATGTGGCCTTCCTGTATTGAGCGAATGGGGTTACCGTCGTTATTATGTGTGTCTTTGGTATGCACCGTGCCTGTATTTGATATAGCATTCTGTTTTTGCTGCTCTTTGTTCTTGGTGGTTTGCTTGTTGTTGTTGAGTAAAAGCGAGGGTAATGGGGTAATTTACTTACATCTCCTACGCTGGTGCCATCAATCTTTGTCAGCCATTTTCCTTACAATTTGCATGAGTCCATTAACACACATTAATCTGTATTTAAGTGAACTGACAGTCATTTTGTTTGCCTAATGGTTTGTTAGTGAGCACAGGGAGCTGTATTTGACTCACTGATTAAAATTACATTGATCTGCCTGATGTTTTATAGAATTGTGATAAGGAGAGAGTTGGATAAATCATTGATACATTTAATCAACCATATTTCACTAATTAAGCACGTTCACATATTCCTACACTAATTACATTGGTGCATTATCTTCTTTGTGACCACATTTAGCCTAACATAACCCCTCAAAGTTGGACCAACCATGTGGAACCAACCAAGTTTTGGTATAGAAATTACTGTAACCGGAACATGTCTCAACCCTTCAAACCAAACAGGTAACACATAATTTAGTATTAAATGCGGTAAGTAGGCCTAAAACCTGCAGCAGGCTGCAATTCATAATATTGTGACTGAGATACATACATGTAATGGAGCCATGATTACTGCACTAGGTGTTGAAGCTGAAGCCTTCTATCACACTTGGGGTGTAATCATCAGTCTGTGGAAAGTCACACTGTGACCATGGCCCTGTTGCTAATGGCTTTTCTCATTGAGGGGCTCTGGAGCGTGGTCTGGTGCCACTTTAGTGAGCTAACTCATTCACACACCCTATTCTTCTACCCTCGTAACAGAGAGGAGCAGGCCTGGCCTACAGTGAAGCCCAGGTGAAAGTCTACTACTGTATGTAAGGCTCAGGGCAGAGTTTAGCTCAGAGATTAGTTGCCACGGACTCCAGTCCAGCACGTCTCCCACGGCATGCTCCAGCCCAGGGAGAGTTTTAGCAGTGGTCCCAATCCTTCAGCAGAGACACTATTTATTCAGCCTCTAATATTGTCCTAATTTATCCAGACGGCCAGCCACCACACCTCCACTGTGCCCATGTGACACTGGTCCTCCGGAGGGCAGGAGAGTGAGAGCTGAGACGGCACCTCCTCTCTGTGGTGCTGTCTGATTTAACATGCTGTTGCTCTGTTTGTGTACCTCCTGAATTAGAAATCCCTCTGATTGTACAGTATTTGGTAGGGGGATTTGGAGGGGAAACGGGCCTATCACTGTATAGGCTTATCACTGTGACTGCCAAAAGATGGGTTTATAATTAGTAAGATGATGGTTGAAATGTTTCAATTATTTGGCTGTTAATTTTCATAGAAAGGCTATATATTTCTTCCAATTTCTTGTCAGCATAGTGGAGCTCCTAAAGCTTGAGAGGTGACAGCAGCTCCTCTCATGCCATCAGTAGTCTAACACCCCCCTCACTGGATGACAAGGGTGTCTTAATCGGCATCGATCTTGTGCAACAAATGTCAGACGCCCCCAAATTTGCTGGAAACAGTGTTCTGTATGTGGACAGTGCCCTGTAGCAATCAATAACTTCCCACGGTGATGTCAAGGTGCTGACTACAATTACCACTCGGGTTATGTTGATAAATTAGTGTCCCCAGAAGTTGCATTCCTCTCATTATGTGCAGACAGTAGAGGGGCTGTCCACTTGGTGACATTACATTATGATGGTAGTTAACTCTCATAATAAACATAAACAGTAAATGATAACACTAGAGAATAGAGTTGTGAGCTTGCTTTGTGTGGCACTTATCTCTCTTCAGAATGTGTTGTTGAATGGCACATGGGAGAGCAGTATTGAGCACCTTGCTGAAGACAAGTTTTCAAATCAAGAATCAAGTATTTTGCTTGTTGCTTAGCAACTTCCAAGATGAGTTGAACAAAGAAATTGACCTCTTATTAATTAAGTCAAATTACAGTCTCATACCAACATGTGACTGTTTTTACTCCATATTTTCTTATGTATTATTCTGTCAGATTTAGGCCTAAATGTCAGATGCAAATGTAAGCTGTAACGAAATGGATGTGTCTCTGGGGTAGAGTAAATGTTCTGTGACGTGTGACCAACTGCCTTTTGTTACTAATTTTGTCAATTAACCAGAGGTTTTGGAGCCCAAGGTCATTAAATGGCCGGCAGGGATGTAGCTCAGTTGGTAGAGCATGGCGTTTGCAACGCCAGGGTTGTGGGTTCGATTCCCACGGGGGGCCAGTATGAAAAAAATATATAAATAATGTATGCACTCACTAACTGTAAGTCGCTCTGGATAAGAGCGTCTGCTAAAATGACTAAAATGTAAATGTAAAATGTAGCTCCCGTCACTGTGGGTTCAATAACACTAGGCTACTTCTAACCCCTCGTGAAGATGAAGCTGAGCTACCTTGATGAAGCCACAGTGGGACTGATATTGTTCTCCTCCCTTTGCAGAACACGTGTGTTCCATCATAGCTTCCTGCCTGCGGAACCTGAAAGCCCAGCAGAGGACAAGGCTCCTCAGCAAATTCACTGAGAACGACTGTGAGAAGGTGAGATCTTCACTGGTCTACCACTGTGTGCAGATTATTTTCACAGCAATATTTCTTAAAAAGTACATCAGGAAAAACCAGCCCAATTTTTGAGGTTTTACATGTTCACTTCCCTGATAGAGATCCCCTTGTACTGGTGTGAGAATGTATTGATCAGCCTGTGACTGGTCACTGTTAATGACTAAAATATTGATCCTGTGGTGGAAAGAGTTATTAACCTCACCACATACAGTGCCTTGCAAAAGTATTCATCCCCTTGGCGTTTTTCAATTTTTTTTGCATTACAACCTGTAATTTAAATTGATTTTTATTTGGATTTCATGTAATGGACATACACAAAATAGTCAAAATTGGTGAAGTGAAATGAAAAAAAGAACTTGTTAAAAAAAAATCTAAAACATTTTTTTACGGAAAAGTGGTGCATGTATATGTATTCACCCCCTTTGCTATGAAGCCCCTAAATAAGATCTGGTGCAACCAATTACCTTCAGAAGTCACATAATTTAGTTAGATTGCACACGGGTGGACTTTATTTAAGTGTCACATGATCTGTCACATGATCTATATAGTATATATACGCCTGTTCTGGAAGGCCCCAGAGTCTGCAACACCACTAAGCAAGGGGCACCACCAAGCAAGCGGAACCATGAAGACCAAGGAGCTCTCCAAACAGGTCAGGGACAAAGTTGTGGAGAAGTACAGATTAGGGTTGGGTTATACAAAATATCTGAATCTTTTGAACATCCTCTAGGGCACCATTAAATCCATCATAAAAAAATGGAAAGAATATGGCACCACAACAAACCTGCCAAGAGAGGGCTGCCCACCAAAACTCACGGACCAGGCAAGGAGGGCTTTAATCAGAGAGGCAACAAAGAGACCAAAGATAACCCTGAAGGAGCTGCAAAGCTCCACAGCGGAGATTGGAGTATCTGTCCATAGGACCACTTTAAGCCGTACACTCCACAGAGCTGGGCTTTATGGAATAGTGGCCAGAAAAAAAGCCATTGCTTAAAGAAAGAAATAAGCAAACATGTTTAGTGTTTGCCAAAAGGCATGTAGGAGACTCCCCAAACATATGGAAGAAGGTACTCTGGTCAGATGAGACTAAAATCAAGCTTTTTGGCCATCAAGGAAAACGCTATGTCTGGTGCAAACCCAGCACCTCTCATCACCCCGAGAACACCATCCCCACAGTGAAGCATGGTGGTGGCAGCATCATGCTGTGGGGATGTTTTTCATCGGCTGGGAGTGGGAAACTGGTCAGAATTGAAGGAATGATGGATGGTGCTAAATACAGGGACATTCTTGAGGGAAACCTGTTTCAGTCTTCCAGAGATTTGAGACTGGGACGGAGGTTCACCTTCCAGCAGGACAATGACCCTAAGCATACTGCTAAAGTAACACTTGAGTGGTTTAAGGGGAACATTTAAATGTCTTGGAATGGCCTAGTCAAAGCCTAGACCTCAATCCAGTTGAGAATCTGTGGTATGACTAAAATATTGCTGTACACCAGCGGAACCCATCCAACTTGAAGGAGCTGGAGCAGTTTTTCCTTGAAGAATGGGCAAAACTCCCAGTGGCTAGATGTGCCAAGCTTGTAGAGACATAACCCAAGAGACTTGCAGCTGTAATTGCTGCAAAAGGTGGCCTACAAGTAGCTTTGGGGGGGGGGGGGGTGAATAGTTATGCACGCTCAAGTTATTTCTTGTTTGTTTCACAATAAAACATATTCTGGATCTTCAAAGTGGTAGGCATTGTTGTGTAAATCAAATGATACAAACCCCCCAAAAATCAATTTTAATTCCAGGTTGTAAGGCAACAAAATAGGAAAAATGCCAAGGGGGGTGAATACTTTCGCAAGCCACTGTACATGGCCATAGACATACTACATGGTAGCCTTTGGTGGTCTGAATCCTATTTTCTCCCTGCATGAGGGTTTTGTATGCATAGCGCCTTGCATTGGTGTCTGATGTCTTCTCCCTCCGTCCTACAGGTTGATAGACTGATGGAGCTGCATTTTAAGTACCTGGAAGCTGTTCAGGTGGCTGACAAGAGGATCGAAGGAGAGAAACATGTAAGGGTCTTACCTCTCGCCCCCCCTCTACCAACAGCTTGCATTCTAACCTTGACTGGCAATATCTCTGAAACAAGAGCAGATCCAAGTGTCTAGATAAGGAGAGTCCTTTTAGAGAGGCTTGTAATTGTCACAACTTCAGGACTAGAGGCTAGCTTGGAGAGGGGCTTGGTTCAAATCCAATGACTTAAGTCATTGTCAACATTAAAAAACTTCACCTCCTGCTGCATGGACCCACTCAGAATATGCTGCTGTGTGAGTGGGTGATGTTTGTTTGTTGTGGCTGGAATCCCTCTCCATTGTTATGGACAGAGATGGCCAATAAGATCCAATCAGCCTCTGCTAAACAAGGCAGTGTTTCAGTCTGATGCCCTGTGGTCCCAGAGAATGTGTGAGGTCCAGACTAGTCTGTAGGCTGTGCTCACTCAGACAGATGAGAGGAGACAGATAAGAGATGAGGAGTCTCTTCTCCAGCAGTGGGGAGAGAGGGCAGGAGAAGGTAGTAGAGTTTTAAGAGGGAGATAGCTTTCAGATTAATATCTGATGAGAGATTAATTATTTGCAAAGGAAGGGTGACAGCTTGAAATTCCCGACTACTTTCAAGTGCAAGCATGACCAAGTAATAACCAAAGAGCCCATTTTCTGTCTTCACAATCTTGATGCACATGGATACTCCTAGTTCATTGTTCAAAATGTTTAGTTATAGGTTGAAGAAACTTAATTAACTAGTCACAATTTCTTTAACTATCTTATTTCAGTCCTGGCTAGGATGTTCTCTCATGTCTTGTACACTACATGGCTAAAAGTATGTGGACACCTGCTCGTCGAACATCTCATTCAAAAATCATGGGCATTAATATGGAGTTGGTCCCCCCTTTGCTGCTATAACAGCCTCCACTCTTCTGGGAAGGGTTTCCACTAGATGTTGGAACATTGCTGCGGGGACTTGCTTCCATTCAGCCACGAGCATTAGTGAGGTTGGGCACTGATGTTGGCCGATTAGGCCTGGCTCGCAGTTGGCGTTCCAATTCATCCCAAAGGTGTTTGATGGGGTTGAGGTCATGGCCCTTCACTGGAACTAAGGGTCATAGCCCGAACCATGAAAAACAGCCCCAGTCCATTATTCCTCCTCCACCAAACTTTACAGTTGGCACTATGCATTCGGGCTGGTAGCGTTCTCCTGGCATCCGCCAAACCCAGATTCGTCTGTCGTACTGCCAGATGGTGAAGCGTGATTAATTACTCCAGAAAACACGTTTCCACTGCTCGAGAGTCCAATGGCGGCGAGCTTTACACCACTCCAGCCGACGCTTGGCATTACACATGGTGATCTTAAGCTTGTGCGCGTCTGCTCGGGCATGGAAACCCATTTCATGAAGCTCCCGACGAACAGTTATTGTGCTGACGTTGCTTCCAGAGGCAGTTTGGAACTGTACAAAACATAAGGAACACCTTCCTACTATTGAGTTGCATCCCCTTTTGCCCTCAGAACAGCGTAAATTCGTCGGGGCATGGACTCTACAAGATGTCGAAAGCGTTCCACAGGGATGCTGGCCCATGTTGACTCCAATGCTTCCCACAGTTGTGTCAAGTTGACTGGATGTCCTTTGGGTGTCCCAGTGTCCGTTTGGAATGGGCTATTTCTTTCTCGACAAACTGACCAATAGAATAGGTACAATTTTCAACTATGGGGGATAGTAGATTGACATGGGCTAGTGATTTTGCTGTTCGGTACTTGTCTTGTTGGCTGAGGAAAAGTAAATGTGGACAGTTATTCTAACGTCTTCAAAGTGCGCATCAGAATTCGGTAAAATGGACCGCACATCGTTGCATCCTCGACTTGCATGTTAATATGAATTACAATAACCTAAATGTGATTTCTGTCATTCTGAGTACCGTTGGTTGACGCCCTTATCAGGTTACGCAGCCATTGCACATAGGTCGGCACATTTTCCTAACGGAAACCCTGCTGCAGCCCCTGTCGGGTTAGTGAGGTCTCTGCTGACTGCAGGCAGGGAGCGAGGAGTAGTCTTAACTACCGCCAGCTCCTCTAGTAGTCAGCCACACTATCCTAATGGTCATGCTATAGACGGAGACATGCAGACCCTGCACATTCGGCTTGCAAACTGCATTCATAACTGGAGGTTTCAATGCTGAAAGGATTTCAAAGGATCCAGAAATGCAACTTCCTCTCGCCTTCCCCCACCTTGCCTATAGCCTAACATACCTTTCTTCCAATTTAAGCGTACGTGGTTGGTTTTCAATGCGTTGGCTATTTTTGCTCCTCTTTCTCCCCTCATTAAGGGAATGGAGCTGTAGCTCAGACATCCATTACCCCAGCCTCTGTGTGCAGGAGGGCTCTGGCTGAGGGATTGATGGGAGCTGGGTAGGGATCAGGCCTGGAAAGGTCCTATAGCTCTGCCTCATCTCCCAGCCAACTGCTGGAGTCTTATTGAGCCTTGTGATTGCTTAAAGTGTGTATGTATGTATGTATGTATGTATGTGTGTATGTGTGTGTAGACGGCTATGTTTGTGTGTGGGTGGTTGCCTGTATTTCTGGGATTCTATTACCTAGGTTACATCAAAATAAAAGAAAATGCAATTTGATTTCAGAAAAGCCTAACTCAGGGTTCCCCAACTGGTGGCTCGGGCCAAATCTGTCCCCCCCAAGTTTTTATTTGAATTGTTGGACACAAAAGACTGTAAAAACACCAGCAAATCAGCTCCAAGTGATTTTTAATTTTGGAAATATGTTCCAAAGTATTTCCATGCATAATATGTATACAAATGTAAGCAATGTTTAAAATGATTATGTTTTAGTGAAATATGATATCTGTTGGGCTTCTTGCGGTCAATTTGCAGCCTACAAATTATTTGTAATTATGTTCCAGCCCCCTGACCATCTTTGCGATTTATCAAAAGGGAAAATCAGCATCTCTCTCCCTCTTAGCAAGTTTGTATCCCTTTACAGAGTACAGACGGCTACAGTATGCTCAAAGAAGGCGATGACAAGGAAGTCACATGAATTCAGTCTTTGCATCCCAACAGAGGAAAAGCATGGAGCCAGTGTTCGTTCCATTTTGCTGTTGTCATCTTAACACCTGCACCTGACCAGGATGTGGAAAGGGAAAGAGACTAAGAATATGTCCTTATTACTTTCTCCTTGGCAGTTGGTTGTCAGACCTTATGCCTTTAATTGAGTCATCCAGGCTTCCTTTGAAAATGTTTTTCTCCACTCCAATAATTTCCTGTGTAATGAGGACGGACTAACTGGTATGTTTGCTTGTCCCTAGTGTTTGCTATACATTAGCATATACCGCCATTTTTATCCACTGTGTCTGATGCAGTAGCGAGCCTATATGGGAGGACCGCCTCGGAATAAGCAGGCGTTTGTTCTGAAAGCTGCACCAGCCTTCTCCCCAGAGGAAAAGTTTTGTTGTTTTACATCTAAACAGGCTAGAGTTGCACATTCTTACAAGTTCCCAAAATAGTGATCTGGATTTACACTGTGATAGAGGCAGACTAAAGATATTTTAAGATTAACGTCATAAATTTGAATGTGTCTTGATATGATTTATTTGAAGAGATGAAGCCCTTAAAAGTTGTAATTCTTTCAAATTCAAACCAACAGACAGACAGGCTTCAGTATTTGAATCTAAATGTCAAGCACACAGTATTACCCTTTGGCTCCTCATTTAAAGAGCATTCATCACAAACACAGACCTCTTTAAAGGATCCTCTATTTGTTTGCTCATATATAGAGCTTCGATTTTATATTCCTGTTAGATGCCCTTTGTTTGACTACTAGAGCACACCTTGAGTGCTGCTGTGTGTATGCCAGAAATATGCCTCCCTCTCCAATGGGTTCTGATGCCAGAATATCCCTTGAAAATAGATTTAGTCCTGAGGGAGGAGGCCAATGTCCATCAGTGTGATTTTATATCCATTAAAGAATGCCAACTGTCATGTTCCCCACCTGGGCTGGCAGCAGGGAAAGGGCTAACATGCACATCAGAGTTCTGTTGAAGTTCTTCGCTGTGAAGTCGTCATTGTTAGGAGTTAGGCACCACATGCTAGAAACCCCTTCTCCTCAGTCTGTTTCAATGGCTCATAACGATGATTAATGTGGCCGCTGTGTATTGACAGCCATACATTATTGGCATACGGACCGATTTGTTAAGATGGATAACTATGCAGGTGTGCGTGCCAACAGAGGCAGCAGAGCAGACCCTCTAGCCACTTAACTCTTAATCAATTGATTTGTGTGTTGACTTGATCAATAAAGAGATTGGATGTGCGAAGGTTGAGAAACAACACTTGAATTAATGTTTTCTTCTATTTTTATCCCTGTGTGTGTAACAGGACATGGTCAAACGTGGTGAGATCCTTGATGATGTGATGGAGGATGAGTTCTACCTGCGGAGGCTGGATGCTGGACTGTTTGTCCTCCAGTTGCTCTGCTACATCATGGTAGAGATCAGCAACTCTGGGATATCCCAGGTAGGATATCTGCATGCACAATGTATATGAAGATTCAGTTACTGGTTTTCGTACCTTGTAGGTATCTTTTTTTTAGCTAAACCTCTGCGTGAAATAGTGTAACTGTATGTCACAACGCGGCAAAGTGTACAGTCTGCTAGCGTTATCAGTGATTCAGTGAAAGTCATGACCCTGTCTTTCCTTTTTCCTCTCAGCTGCAGCAGAGGGTGCATCAGATCCTCAACCTGAGGGGAGGCTCTGTCAAAGTGGTGCGGCACATCATGAGAGGTGAGCATCCACTCTACACCCTGCTAGAGGGAGAGAGACTAGCACCGACATATATTTACTCCAAAGCCATACAACACTAGCCTATTTACCAGCCTCACTCTTTCCTTCTTTACCTAAAGGGCATAAATACATCTGTCCTCTCTGTTTTTAGTTCATCTATTCATGTTATTGTATTTTCAGTTATTTATTGACCTCTGTCATTGTCAACTAAGACCAGGAAGTTGTGGACTGCATGGCTCTTTCTGCCCTGGTGACATGTAGTGGTGTAAATGGAGCTATCCTTCATGTGTCACAGCTTGGACAGGGTAGTGAATGTCATGTTGATGTGCAGCACTAGCCCCTCGTCCCCTGTCCCCTGTCTCCTGTCCCTCGAGAGCCACTTTACATTCATGCTCAGATGTGTATGTGTGCACCCACAGAGTGGGAAGCTCATCCCTGACCTCCCCCATTAAACGGCTGACTCCTGCATTGGAAATGTCAGCATGAAAGGTTAAATACATGCAGCGAGGACGTCAATGGCTCTGAACTTGACCCTGATCTTTTGTAATGAAAAGAAAAGGTATCTTTGGTGGAGGCTGTCTAGAGTGGTCCGCTCATGATCTGGGATGACCAAATATATAGATTTTTATTGCTGCCTATTATCTCACACCGATTCTATGGATTAATATGGAGCTTGAGAATAGATTGTAGTACTTATGTAATCACCTCAGGACCCCAAGGGGAGCACATTTTGGTTTTTGCCCTAACACTACACAGCTGATTAACATCATCAAAGCTTTATGATTAGTTGATTATTTGAATCCGCTGTGTAGTGCTAGGGCAGAAACCAAAATGTGCACCCATTCGGGTCCCGGGGACCAAGTGTGGGAAACCCTGCAGTAGGCATATTACATTCTGTCTGCTCCAGATGATACAGGATATATGTCCAGGCCTCTATAGTCCAGCAGCCCCAGTGGTCTGGCCATGCGGGGTGAAATGACCTTATTGTCTGACTGGTCCCACTAGATGGGGCTTTTTGGCCCTCAGCTCAGTGTGGGAGGTTCTGTGGAACCAAGGTATCAATGAAACTGTGTTGGGGAATTAAGAATGTAGCTTTCTCAACCCAGCACTAGCTGTGGCCTCATAGACTAGCTCAGATAAACAGTTGCTCAGTAAAAGGGCCCAACCTGTGAAGTCTGTGTGGTGGACGGTGCCATTCAGAATCATAATGATCCCATGGTCGTGTTGTTTGTGACTGCCATGTCCTCTGTCTTCTAGACTACTAACTACAGATTAAAGGTGTTATTGTTGGCGGAAATGTAGCATTGAAGTTCTTCAGTGTCTTGACAAGCACTGCAGCAGTCTGCACACCCTGTTATCTTCAGCTTGTAACCTCATCGGTGACACATCAGAGGTGACAGCTCAAAGTGTCAGGAGTCATTCATTTTCAAAGGTTTCTCCATTCTGCAAGAGATCCTTGGATGATTAACCTATTTGTCGACGGTGCGACATTTGCGACCGAGCAGGAAGCCCTAGTCGGTGACCCGGCAAATGGTGGCAGAGTTTGTCACGCCATATTCCTCTCAGCCTGGTCGCCGCGGTGACAGGAGGAGTGATTCTAGAGAGTGGGTCTGTCTTCTTGAGGCTAATTCTAGGGGATGTTGGGATTGTGTGGGTCACTTGTTGAACCCTGCTGGCACACATATTTGGGCTGAATGAGCAGGGTATGATGTAGGACTTCAAGAAACAATCTGGAGTCCTTTTTTTGTTACTGCTTGATACCACTGTGTATAGTTTTACTGTCAGATATCATGAGTGTCTGTCTTTGTTGAATTTCTGCTCAAGGTCGTGACTGTGGACAGTGAAACTCATGAGGAGATTAGTCTTCTGTGTGCAGACATTTTGTGATTCACTCCAGTATTTTTATGAAGGCTTGTTTTTCCTCTTGCCCCACGCCATTGTCAGAAAAACTCATTTTCTTTATTTTCTGGCAGTTAAAATATACACTTTTTTGCCGATCTTCTCTCTCAAGGTCCCAGGGCTTAATTGGTAATCCTGCAAGAGGGGGCTACCTACTCTGGGCCTCTGCAAACTCTCCTTCACTTTAGACTCACATATAGACTGCTGCTTTGAGGTGATCCCTGTGAGACTGGATTTCCACAGCTAGTTTGCCTCAGTCAGAGAAGTGTCTAGTCTAGTGTGAGTTGGCAGGGAATATAGGCTAAGGTTATGTACCCCTGAGAGACAAGGTGTAAGTGGATATAGGAATAAACACACAGTATACTGCACTGCTAGAGAGCAACACTGGATCGACAGGCTAGAACATAGGGTTGGAGATACAGTTTCAGTTTTAGAAAAAGCTATATCATCAATTATGTTTCTAGGTTCCAGACTGCAGCCTTTTCCAAATCTCTCCTTTTTGTAGTCTGGTTTTAGTACTAAACCCTGGGTTATTTTACTCATGTATGGAGAACTGGGTGTGTGCGTGGTGTTCACTCACGAATGCTGGGGTGGATGTGAGAGATAGGAAAAGAGTGGGAGTTGTGTCATTGTAATTCAGGAACATCCTCCTAGGGTTGAATTCCCTTGATTTGTGTAGATTACAGGAACCATGCCCATGGAGAGGTTTGATTAAAAAGAAGACTGCATGAAGAGCTCATAGTCAGCCAAACTCAACTTGGGGATTTGTCTTTTTCAGAGTATGCTGAAAACATTGGTGACGGGAAAAGTGAGGAGTTCAAAGAGAGCGAGCAGAAGAGGATCATGGACCTGCTGGAGAACTTCTAACCCTAACCAACCCCTGGGAGGAGTGACCTGACCAGCGGTCAGAGCTTCAACATGGACGGAGGGTCTCCACACACTCAGACAGAATATACCAGGGTCCAGCAGGTGCAGAGAAGCTGTATTGATTGCTTTCTCTGTGCTGGAACATGTGTAGGACTATAGTGACTCAAAATATATTAACAAAGATGTGCAGTCTTAAGCTGCAACTATTTCAGACTCACATGTTTGTGGTGTTTGTTTTGATTTGTGTATTTTGTAATAAACATTTGGTAATGAAATCCTATCCGGGTAAGATGCTTTTTTGTGAATAAAAAACCGTCCTTTACATCTCATTTCAGTTATTCTTTTGAGATAGAAAGGTAGAAAGATTGCTGTCACATTGTTTTCTGTGCAGATTAATTACATTACATTGGCAGGGTTGTGTTTGCAGTAAGCGAGGTTGAGGAAAGACCAGTGTAGGCCAGGGGCATGATGACACAACCTGAAAAGAAGCCATCCACTCTCAGGCCCTTTGCCATCAACTGGTAAGACTAGAATGTTATTTATCTTTCAAGAATACATATGTAATGTTTCTAAACATGGCATCTAGTGTATCTCCACTTCAAGGGAGAATGATGTCTGAATATATGCCTCTTCTACACAGAAGGACTGCCGCAGTTGGGTTGTGAAGTCACAGGGGGACATATGCTGCACATAATGGAAATGTGGTCTGATGCCTGGGATTCCCATGATGGCATAAAGGCCTTGGTATCATACTGCACCATGTCTTTTCATATTATTTCCCTGGGAATCCCAATGGAATAGGGCGGGCTGGCCTTATTCGCAGATCTTATTAAGAAGAAACCAAAGATATAACATTTTTGGTTTAAAATATAAATTAAATGTGCTTGGAAAACATGTTCCTAGATGTAGGCTCTGTGGTTTGTTCATGTGCAAATGAGTGTGAAAATTGTGTTGTCAACCCACACTACCTTATGTATTTATTTACTGTCTGCACTGTCCTTGGGAGAGTAACTAGGGATTTCATGCAATTCTGACGATATCGAAGGAAGCAGAATAGCTAAGCACACATAGCTACATTGGGAACAGACCATTCTCTCTCCTCTCTCTCTCAAATTCAAGGCCTGCAGAGCCTTTTCATACAAAACATTTCCCTCCTGGCTAATGTGATGCAGATAATTATGATTATTCTTCAATAGTGCAGCTTTCTGTCCCATGCCTTTGTTTTCTCTTCATGACTCCCATGCGACCCTGATGCCACTTCGCTCAGCATAGATGTTGACATTAAAAATTCAGCTTTAGAAATGGAATGCTTCATATTGCTCACAGCTGTTCAGTCTAATGCTCTGCTGGTGCAATAGGTCATTGATTTCCAAGATCTCCCGACACTATTCACACTAAATTACTGCCATCTCCCTGGTAACTAGAATCTTCAAGCAGTTTTAATAAATCCTGTTTGTGTGTGTGTGTGATGCGTTAGAAGAGGTCATATGTGATCAAGGGTGTCATACAAGGGAGTGCATTTTTATTGATGCTCTCTCTGCCACAGCATCAAACAAATGCAAATGAGAGCGAGCCACCCGGCCCGGGCTCAAGCAGAGACTCAAGGACATCACCATAGTGATGCTTGTCAAGAGCATGTGGGAGCAATCTTGCCATGCCAATCATTCATGTCTCAGGTTGCTGTGGCGTCGTCACGACGGGTAGGAGGCATAGGAGGCTGTTCTCCAACAGCGTAACAGCTGCTCTGCAACCTACGCTCTAATATTGCTTATAACGAGAGAATGGTCATTTGCATATTGTATTGGCAGGGAGGCACCCTACGTATCTCTTATCAGTGATTATGACGTCACCGTGTTAACAGTTGCTGTACAGCAATTTCACAGCTGAGAGGAGGTAGAATAATTGTATTTTCCAAGTGATTGAGTAGAACTGTGCTGTGATTTTCTCCCTTCTTCCTTACAGTGTACATGGTGGGAAGACAAACTGCATCTTGAATGTTATTTAATAATTGGTTTCTGGTGGATGATTCAATGTAAGGCCCTTAAATCATTACAACTTTCATGGTAAAGGAGCTATCTCATGGAATGGTCACTGTGAAGGACCATTATTAGCCACATGATCTTTCTGGAGTTCTTCAATCCTGGTTTATACATTCTTGTTCTAGCCCGTTTGCCTTGAATGGCTAATAAAACAAAATAACACATTATTTATCTCTAAACATGATAAGACATTAAAGTTAGTTGATGAGAAGGAGTACATTTCCAATGTTCCTGGCTGCAACATAGAATATTTACATACTGAGTTACTTATTATATTTATATGGAGAAGATAATTGAAGAAATTCCATTCCCAATGGTGCTATGCTATCCCATAGTCTGATCACTGTATGTGCAGTGTGCAACTGTGCATTCAGGGTGCAGGGCTCATCCTGTTCGTTTGGTACTGTCCGTGGTGCTGATTGTGTTGTCCATGGTGCTGAAATGATTGTGATGCCTCTGTGTGCTTTTGCGACCAAACCGGAGACAAAAGCCTATGTTAGGCTTGACGATCAGGAAAATATTACCCCCCAAGCTTTAAATTGCCCTCAAAATACCTCTTTCTCAAATTCCATATTAACTGTCAGGTGAAGCTGCCTACATTAACTCTGCATGAGTTTTGCGGCATATGGAATGTTTGATGATAGCAAAGCAGTAATCGGATTGTCACTCGCTTTAGAGCGATCATATCAGCGCAATACCACACAGCATGTAGTCAGACCTGCAAAACCTAGAAATACCAGTCATAACATTATTTATTTTTAATCGGATGAACATTTGATGCAACTACTTTTGTTGCATCGATTGTCATCATTTGTTTTTCGCTTTGCATCGTGTGTCTTTATGCTTATGCATTTGAGACGGATAGTTTGTCAATTATGGATGGTTCTACAGCTCTAAGAATTATAGTCTTGTAAAAGTTTATTCAATAAATCACTCGCTCAGATCATTCCGTCTAATTGATATTCCCCATTGCAAGCCGAGGCACTCCCCTTTTTGTGTGAGGGAAAATCTCCCTCAGTCGCATCCAGAGCCGACCTAGCTGAAGCGAGATATCAGCGACTTGAACTAGCGGGCGGCTGCACCATCACACCGCTTCATATCAGCGACCTGTGCTTTAGTCTCAAACCGTTACAACACGTTACCTGGATTTTATTTTGTAAACTTACTACAACTAATGTGAGAGTGTGGCAAAGAATACTGGAATCTCAGACAAAAGAGATGGGAGCCTTTGGGGTGATAGTAGGGACATTACATTACATGGGACTCTACATCCAACTTACTGCCGCCACAAGGCAAGGTGGACACGCAGAGGTAGAGAACCACATCTCCGGGAACGGTATGTTTCTGCCCTCTAATGTTTTATTTGGTTCAATTGTAATGATATGGGTGAGCAAAATTCAGAAAGAAAACAGGAAACACGAGGAAGATGCTGCTGGTTTAGAGGGAGAGAGTGTGTTCAGCGTTGAGGCAAGTGATGCAAATGTGTTTTCTTTATAAGGGAACACCTGAGGTAGAAGGATGAGCGATGTGTTTTGTACATTAATATCAGTTAAGCTCCTGGGGTTAATTCATGTTCTATATGCACAGTTATTGAACTACATTTTTTATGTACAAATCTACATAGCCTACCGTTTTCTGTCAAATAGTAGTTCATAATTAGAACACTGACAATGCTATTTGTGTCATGGTAGGACAAGAGTGGAAGCAGAAATACACTATATATACAAAAGTATGTGGACCCCCCTTCAAATTAGTGGATTCGGCTATTTCAGCCACACCCGTTGCTGACAGGTGTATAAAATCGAGCACACAGCCATGCAATCTCCTTAGACAAACATTGGCAGTAGAATGGCCTTACTGAAGAGCTCAGTGACTTTCAACGTGGCACCATCATAGGATGCCACCTTTCTAACAGTCAAATGTCTGCCCTGCTAGAGCTGCCCCGGTCAAATGTAAGCGCTGTTATTGTGGAGTGGAAACGTCTAGGAGAAACAACGGCTCAGCCACAAAGTGGTAGGCCACACAAGCTCACAGAACGGGACCGCTGAGTGTTGAAGTGCGTAGCCCGTAAAAATTGTCTGTCCTGCACACTCACTACCGAGTTCCAAACTGCCTCTGGAAGCAACGTCAGCACAAATACAGAAATAGTTTGTCGAGATCGGTGTGGAAGAACTTGACTGGCCTGCACAGAGCCCTGACCTCAACCCCATTGAACACCTTTGGGATGAATTAGAACGCCGACTGCGAGCCAGGCCTAATCGCCCAACATTCGTGCCCGACCTCACTAATGCTCATGTGGCTGAATGGAAGCAAATCCCCGCAGCAATGTTCCAACATCTAGTGGAAAGCCTTCCCAGAAGAGTGGAGGCTGATATAGCAGCAAAGGGGGACCAACTCCATATTAATGCCCATGATTTTGGAATGAGATGTTTGACGAGCAGGTGTCCACATACTTTTGGTCATGTAGTGTATTATGATGAATATACTGCGTGTTGGTGCAGTGACTCTCTATATTGCACATGAAATCAAATGTAGCTAATACATAAACAATTAATTTTATTAAGAAATGCATGGCTACATTCAATAAATTATTGTTTTATTCAGGAATATCGTAATGTTCATATGAAACAACTGTATTATGTCTATTTAAAAAAATGTGTGTGAAAGTTATCTATTTGTTTCAACTAAACTATGTCAACTTTGTTACTTTGATATTGGCCTCATAATTAAATAGCTAGAACAATATAATTATCAGCTTATGAAAATTAGCCTAACTGTTGAAAGAACCGCTGCAGGTGGTAGTTTTAATAATACATCATGCCTATATTCTGGCACAATACTCAACTTTTCAGAATTGAGTGGATAACAAGTGACATTTGAACATTGGGTCGTCCAATAATAAGCTACAATGGTCAAAAGACTGTGTTACTAGCTGGAGGGCAAAAACATCTCTGCTGGAGACTGATCCTCTGATGACGCACCAACACTGTCTCTGGCTTCCTGTTGTCTATTTTACAGTTGCATCACTCAGCTAAACGTGTATTGTCTGGCTTCATCATCTTATGTTTGGGATCCCAGCTGCTTGGCTGTCAGCTCAGCAGATGTGTGGGCAGAAGTTTGGCATGGGTAGAAAAATGGACTGTCGAGAAGAGAAGATTGCGTGTGGGGCTAAGTGCCTCCACGCACTTGAGCAAGATACTGATGATCCCCTATAACAAAGTGAACATCAGAGTCTTACTTCTGCCAAATCTTCTTCTACCATCACCATTGTGCCCACTGGTATTACTAGCAGATACTAGTATGATAACATGCATGGTATAATTTCTCTGATTGGGTTGTGTGAAGTA